TTCAATTATTACATAAGGATGTGAATACATATTTTTCTTATCGCGATATTTTTTTTCTTTGTTAAAATTTTATTATAGTTTTCAAGAGCATCGAAAAAGATAAGTTGTTGAAAAACTTACATTTTGAGAAGCAAAATTTTAAATACGAAATAAATATTATTTACATCTCACTTAATCTAAAAGACTCCTGTTTATTTATGAAAGTTAGAAAGATGAAAAAAGTTATTTTAATAATAGAAATTAAAAAAAAATTTCTAATGAAATTTTGATTTAAAATAATTAATTTCAACGAAGATTGTAGCATATGCGGTATAACAAACAAAAGCGCAATAATTTTCTTAAGAAATCCTACTTAAAAAATTCAAAAATAGCAAAAATTGCAAAAAAAATTAATAACGCAAATTAATGACATAAATCATAAAGTATAAGTAATTTAAATAACTGCTCTAAATAATATTTTAATAACGTTTTTGAAAAAATCTCAAAGCAGTTTTAACTTCAAACATTAATTATAAACAAATCATTTGAACAAAGTTTAGAATAAGCGTACGTAGATAAAATAATTAAGATACAGCTTTTTCAGACAATTTAAATTTAAACAAAGTTAATTTAACTTAAATTTATAAAATTAAAGTAATATTTTAATGCCTTCTGCTATTAAGTAACTAATTAAAAAAAAACACATTTCCTATAAAATAATATTTTCTAAATTTGCAAAAAAATTTTGAAAAAAAAGTAATTAGTTAAATTAATCAAAAACTTACCTCAACCTCCATTAATTAAAAAAAGGAATCATTACTCAATAATCCACATAATGCCTAAGGAATGAGCAAGTGATAATAAAAACTGCACTAGGTATTAACACTGCTCTCATCACCCTACGAAGTGAATATGCCTAAAGAGGCAGTCGCGCAAACCGTCGCCCGATCGGCTCAGCTTTTTTCTTTTTGTACTTTTTTATTTATAAAAAGTGAAACGCACTCTAAAAAACCGCACTCTGAAATGAATTATAATGAAATGATGGGAAACAAACAAATAAGTAAAAAATAGCGCGCCTCGCTTACGATTCGCGGGGATCGAGATCTTCCCCAATGCAATGGCCCCTTTGTTGCCTAGCAACCAAACATCCGGACGATGGTCCCCTTTACAACAAGAGAGGCCCCTTCTAAACACCAAATCAACTCGGGCCCCCCTAAAGATTCGCTCTTCTGCGTTAGTTGTATACAAAGTAGGGATATATCCCGCCAAATAATTTTTTTTTTTTTTTTAGTATACTCATAATTGGGGTATTTTCCTAATCGGGTTTGCATTAATTTATTATAGTTAATGATTAAATTCAAAACTTTAATTTAATACGTTTTCAATTTTATTTATTAATTTATAATTATTGTTATCATTATTTAAGTTTAGTTACTTTGCTTAAAATTCTAGGAAGCTCTAATTAACATATGGAATAAAAGGTGGGAAAAGCAGTCTATATTAAGTTCATATTTTAACAAGGTTTATTAACGAACTATGATTAAATTTATACGTAAAACAATAAATTTAATTAATTAAGAGGAAGAATAGTATTATATTTACATAAAAAACAAATTAGGGAACTGAGTAATATTAATCAGGTAATTAATAAGAGAATTGTATAAATTATTTTGAATAAATACAAATTTAATTATTGTTTAAAACAATAGAAAGCATTAATTAGAAAATTCTAGCAAAATCGTTAAATTTTTTATAGTACTGTAGAACTAACGAAGTAAAAAGAAACGATTAATTTATCTTAAATAAAAATACTATACCAGCAATTATTTAAACTTTTAAAAATGATTTCATGTTCAAATTTAAAAATAAAGATAATTTACTATTTTTATAATAAAAATTTTACTTCAAATTTTTATATAAAATAAACAAGAATAACAATATATTTGCCAGCAACTTATAAGTTTTAAGTTTTACTAACCTAAAAAAACAAGAATTGATGTTGAATTAATGATTCATAACTCCTTGTGCATACAAAAAAGAGTTAAAAATAAAATAAAAATGTTTAAAAATTGAAACTTTTGTATTCAATCGAAGTTTGATAAATTAAAATATTAAGTAAATTTTTTATACTATTTATTTGATTAAGCTTAGATATAATTTTAAGCTTACTCAAATAAAATTTGAAATTTTTTAATTGAATAGCTATAATAATTGATTGAATAGATTTAATTGAATATATATGAGAAATAATAAATGCTTCCTGCCAATCCCGAACTAAAAAAAAGTGGATGTCTTTTTTTAATTTAAAAAAAGATCATATCAGACTGTTTCTTTTATTTCATCTGTTAAATTGCATTTTGGATTCGATGTTAAACTGTACCACGTAAGAAACAGGAGCCTAAAAATATTCGATGCTCCGGCTGCCCGGAGGCTCTGGAAATTTCAATTTCTATTTAGCATATATAGTCATGTACATATAGTTATGTATATATATAGTTATACATAACGCGATTTTGTAACGTGCTATATTGTGTAAGTACCTTTCGGAATTTCAGATTTTAATTTGAAATTTTTATCATAAAAAGCAACAAAAAAATAATGACATAATCTCACAAATACAAATTTAATTTATCTTATAAATCGTTTTCATATTTGATCTTAAATCATTATAAATGTATATTAAGGCCGAGAATAGTCTTTCTACAGCAATTTTTCAAACGGGTCAGGCCGTTACAATTTGGCAGGCCTTAAAACTAATGTTCGTAGAAAATAATGAAATTATCCCTGTGATTGACATAGTCAAAGATTCTAAATCTTTAACAATGATTGACCATTATTTAACAAAAATAAATAAATATTTCATCTTTTTCTGTTCTGAAAATAGTCTAAGTTGCTCTTTGTTGCTATATTTATTTAAATAATTAGATGAGCAAAAAATGAATTTTTAGTTGATGAATTAAAATTTTTATATATTTAAAGAAAATTAATAATAAATAAATAATGGCGGTATATAAAACAACTCCATATTAAGTACAACAACAAGTTAATGGAATAACTGCATTTCAAAAGGAAATTGAAGAAATTCAAGGCACAACCGAAACTAACCCCAGCAAAGATATAATACAATGTAATTTTTTTTGTTCTGTTTTTACATGTTTATTTTTACTCTCATCGGCTACTGAGGTTTTTCTTGTTTTGTTTCTCACCTCTTTTCCGTTTTTCGTTAGCAACTATACGTTTTCAATTTAAAATCACTTTTGTTTCTTCTCATTCACGTTCGGTAAATCTTGAAAATGAGAGCCCGTTTTTGAACGCTTGAAACATGTCGACTGTTATTTCCAAACTGTATGCTTTTGAAGCGAATGAAGTTTAAATCAAGTAATATCTTACCACTCCAATTTCTTGAGATTATTTTTAATATAACGTCGGTTGTTTCGCATGTCTAAAAGAATTTTATAGGTGGGCATTTTGTTTCACACAATTTATAACATTAATTATTTGAAATTAAATTTAAAATATGCAGAATAATGTAAATATATATATTTTTTTGTTTGATCTGCCATCCACAAATTCACTTAACAATAATAATAATAATAAAAGGGATTTCTCTAAAAAATCAATTTAAACTTTTTCTATATACAAACTATTTTCCCAGTTTTTATACCTTAAAAGTTGAGAAGATGAAAGAAATTTCACGTTTATTTAAAATTTCTACTGAAGCCTAACTTTTTTGTGATAACACAACACTAAATGGACAAACTTTTTCTAAATAAATTTACTTATTGTACACAATAAATAAAGGTTTGTATATTTATCTCTATATATTCTAAAATGTTTTTAAAAAAGCTAATGAGAGAAATTCTGGGATATTAATAGTATTTTATGGCTATTGAAATATTGCCGGTATGCATTAAAATGACCTGATTCTCTAGAAGTATTAGACAACGTAATGATCGAAGACTTTTTCAATTTGCATTGCTTAAAATGCTCGCAGCGTCCAAATTATTGATACAGTTTTTTTAATACTGAGAAACTTATTTTTTCCCAATAATTTTTTTTCTTGAAAAAAGATGTAGCAAGTTAAAAAAAAATTTAAAAATCATGCATTCCGAAAAATCTTGAAAAAAAAATTCGGATTATTATTAGACTCGGATTATGAAAACAAATTTAACATCTTCAGACTTCAAAAAACGAATACTTTTTGAAAAAAAAAAAAAAAAAAAAAAAAAAAAAAAAAANAAAAAAAAAAAAAAAAAAAAAAAAAAACACCGTTTAATGCTTGCGGAAGCTTATTTCATTAAAATGAGCGTTAAGGCTAAATACGATGTCTTTCTCTTGCTGCGTCCGATAAATAAAAAAAAATTTAAAAAAAACTTTTATATTCAAATTATTAGGCTATAAAAAAAACGTTAAATTAAAAAAAAAAAAAGAAGAAGAAAACATTTATAGAAGCTATAACGACCGGAAATTACCCTTAATATGTTTTTTTTTTTTTTTTTTTTTTTTTTTTTTTTTTTTTTTTTTTTTTTTNTTTTTTTTTTTTTTTTTTTTTTGCACGAGGTAAACCAATATCCATTTGAGCTTATCCAGTCTACAAAATGCCACTCTATAAGCAATGCAGTAAATAAATATTAAAGTATCCTCAAAATAAAAACATTTACTTCATGCACTGCCCCCGAACGAAATATCATTCCAATTCTAGAATATTTAAAACAAAACAAAAAAACAAATTGCGTCATCCCATACCCAGTGCCTCATTCACCTGATATAAAGGAGGATAAAAAAAAGTGGTTTGAGAGAAAGCCTCCTATAAAAGGGGCCTCAACTCAACTCATCTCAACCCCTGAGCTCTGACGTCATGACAACATGCACAACGTTCCTAACTCCCTCTCTGTGCAGACAACAAAGAATTTTACTCAATTTTTTTTATTTATTCCTTTTTTATTTTAAGCTTAGAATTGCATACTTCTAAATGCCAAAGCCAGGGGGGATGTGCTATGCGATCAGGCATGACATTTAGGGCCTTATGCAACTGAAACGCGCCTCTTCGATTCGATTTCATCGAGCCCGTTCGTTCGCTATTCGAATGTGACCGGTTTCCGAATTCAACTGTAACATTTACGCGCCATCGAACTGGAAGGGTTACCTTTCGAAGCGGGTCATCATTTTGAGAGGTCACGTGATAGCTTAGAATTATCAGCCAATCAAAAAATTGATAGTCGTTCCAGAAATAAATTTAACTAATACTTTTTAACTGTGACTTTTTACGATTATATAAACATATATTTTCGATATATTGAATCAGTGATACTTCGTAAATTGTTTTTATAAACATGGATGCAATTTTAAAGGAAACAAATTTACTTATGGAATTATTAAGAAGCAGAAAGGATTTAATTAGCAATTATATTAGTCCTTCGTCAACTTTAAAGTCAAAAAATGACGTTAAAAAGGAATGGGATTCATTGGCCCAAGAAATTTCATCATATGGCTTCGGCAAGCCAAGGACCGGAGCCGAAATTAAAAAAAAATGGCAAGATCTGAAGTGTAGAGTGAGAAAAAAGGCTTTGGCCATAAATAAATATAAATCAGGGACAGGTGGCGGGCCACCAGCTCCACCTTTGAGTGAATTGGACAGAAGTGTTATCGATGTTTTGGGTCCTGCTGCCTTCAGTGGTGTGCCACTCTGTTCAAACCTTGATTCTATTTCACTTCAACAACAGGTTAGTAATGATTTGCTTTTATTAACTTTTACTGATAATTTTATAGTACTGAACCTTAGAATTAGTTAATTTATTTAGTTAGGAATGCAAGTAATGGTTCGAATTTTATTTTTAAAAAATATATTCATATAGTTATCAAGATAATGCTTTATAAACTTTTATCAGCAAATATTGTTCACGCTAGATTTAATTTCTTTTAACAAAAGTATCTGGATTTTGCTATATATATATATATATATAATTTGATGTTTTAAAATGGTGATTGAATATTTCTAAAGATTAAACTATTATTGAGATATCTCACACATTATTAATTTTCTAGCTGTGTCACTGTTTTTGCTCTTGCAACAAAGCTTTACAGTTACTCAATTTTTTACACAGCTCTTGTTAGGTCCTTTCTTTGTTAGTTTAAGCAATTTGCTTGAAAATTTTAACAACAGAACTTATTATCAGCTAATAATATTTACTTTAAAATTATATAGCTGAAATACATATAGTATTTTTTTTATTTTATTATGGTTTTAATTATTTTAAATTTTCTTTGTGGTTATTAGGTTGTTCCCGAAGAATTATCAGCAGTGGAGCCTGAGTTTTCTGATATTGATTCTTCGGTTTTCATTAATGATGGTAAATCTAACCAGTATGCAGCAGTTGTGCCTCCATTGGCCTCTACTAGCCAGGAATACAACTTAACAGAAATGACACCACAAGCAGAAAAAACTCCAGTTTCTATTAAAAGTAAAAATTATCTCTTTGTGGATTGTTTCATTACACTGTGATTTGCATTTCGTTGTTAATTTTTAAGATCTAAACAGTCATAATATTTTCTGTTATAAAATGTTGATTTAAAAAATAGAATAATTTAGATAATGAAAAGATGATAACTTTTCTTTCTACATGCATATTTCATTTTTAGCTAAGCATAAATGTAATGTGTCAAAAACGTATTCAAAAATGTATTTAAAGAAATTAATAATTAACATACAGTCCAAAAAGTTATGTGACTTTATGAAAAGTTACGTCTGTCCCAAATCTACAGATTTGAACTCACAATTAATGAAAACACGTTTTATATTCTGATGTAGCATATAAATTTTTGTAAACCTCTGACTGATAATATTCAATTTATTATATTAGAAAAAAAATAATTATTCAGAATGAAACTATTGTCATATTGTTTTATACCCTTATACAACTGAAACATTATTCTTCGAACTTTAATGATCATTATAGGGTGGTGACTGTTGTTCAAGTGTTATATCATCAAAAATAAATTTTTAAATGTGATAAGTTTTTGAAAAAGTAATTGTAATTCTGTTGCCCAGAAAAAAATAATTTATCAAATGCTGGCAGTTAATATATATTAGCTCCAATTAATTATTTAAGCATGTGCTTAATAAAAAACTTTCACTGCATTCAAATGAAAATTAGATTGAAGAAACATATATCATTTGTAAGTTTTACTTTAGTTTAATTTAAAAGTTTTGGCAGAAATTTCAAGCTATTTTCTTTTGCCATTTAATCTCTATTTTAAATTTGATTACAGGCTCTACTTCAAGAGTAAGAAAATTTCGGAGGAAGCAACGGTCTTTAAAAAAGGGATCAGATGTACAAGAACTTTTAGACCTTAAAAGGAGATCCTTGAAAGTTAAGGAGAGAATGGCTAGAATTTTGGAAGTAAAAACCAGATTGAAGTGCATGAAGATGGGTGTCAACTTTGATGAAATGATAAATGAAATTCCATGAAATAAAATTATTTTATTTGACCATTATTAATGTCCATGTTTATTTATCCATCTATTTTACATATCTATAAAATTTTATGCTTTAAAATTTATGAAATTCACTAATTGATGTTTGGTAATAAATATTACAGTGCTTATTTTTTCTGTAAGAACAATATACATTTTGCCTTTGTCTTATAATTTTAAGTCATAATTTTGTCTTATATTTTTGTTAGTTTCTAATCTTATTTAGTTTGTTAGTTTCTAATCTCTTCAAATTAGTTTCTAATCTTTTCTGATTTTTTTAAACACCGAAAGCTTCTCAGAGCAATAAAATTGTAATATTAATTTTGTTTCCATGTTTGTTACCAAGTAGACTAAGAAAACGCCTTTTTTTTTTGGTTCACCAAAAATGTTTTATTTTTTAGGACATTTTTTAAAGACATTGATCTAATTTCTTGCAAATAAAAGAATTATGATATTCTGCTTATAAAATTGCTTTTGAAAAAAATTTTAAAATTAATTTTTAAATTAATATTAAATTTATAATATTTAATTATATTATATTAATATTAAAAGAAAACATATTAAACAATTTATTAATATTAAAAAATATGATGTTCCTTGAATTAATTCTGATTCTAAATAAAGACAATATTACAGAGTTTGTTCAGACATTACAAATTTTATATTAAACAAAAGATTCAGAAAAATGTACTACATCAAACAATTATTATACCATATTTGTAAGTAATAACACTATTAGCAAACAAGAGTCATAAAATTCTTTATCTTTCGCTTAGATTTTGAGCTATTGAACTACGTGCCAAACACCCTCTAGCATACACACTAGTATTTGTTGGCAAATCATCTGGTTCGTCATCATCATTGTCATCTTCTATATACTCCAACAAAGGAATATTTCTTTCAATGCAAATGTTGTGTAACACACAACAAGCCATGATTATCTGGCATGATTTAGATGGACTATATAATAAGTTGCCACCTGATTTATGAAGACACCTAAATCTTGATTTTAATACTCCATTACACCTCTCGACAGAACTCCGGAGGGATCTTAGTTTTTTATTGAAATTTTCTTCAATTGCAGTTGTGGGAGTATCATAGGGTTTTAACAACCAAGGCTCTAATGGATATCCGGCATCTCCAATTAAATAATCTGTGCCTGATGTTAATACTCTCCTCAATTCACAGGCAGCCCAAATGTATGCATCGTGAACACTACCTGGCCACCGTGCCACCACATTTGAAATTTTCAGATCTTTATCACATACCTAAATAGAAGTAGAGTAAAATTAGTAAATCTTCTAAAGTTCTTAAAAATAAGAAAAAAATATTTCTGATCCTGTCGAATTTTCCTAATGATTTCCGGTTCACAAGAGTTTGAATAAAATTTAACTATGCTAATATTTGAGAACACTAAGAATAAATTTTAAGTCGATAAGTAGACTACCAAAAAAATAAATGTTAAGTAGACTAAATAAATAAATGTTAAGTATTTTTGATTTTTATTTTCGTGGGATAAACACACAAGCAAGTAGAGCAGTGGTTTCCAACCTGTGGTGCACGCCCCCAATGGGGGAGCAATACTGTTGCAAGGAAGCGTGTAGCTGTTTTCAAAATATAATTTCAAATACAAACCAAAAAAAATCAAATGGGTGTCAAAAAATGAATAAGCAGTATACGTAATCCACAATTCTAACTGCTGATTTTTGGTGCACAAATGCTAAAACATCCCATTCATACTCTTCTTCAAATCAAAATATCTTGCTTTTGTGTTTGTAGCCGAGTACCGATGGGGGTGGAATCAAAAGTTAAGCACTGGCAACATCCCGGTTATTCTCGTGCTTACTTGCGCCAAACTTCAGTAAACAGAAGCTTTAATTTGTCAGTAGTCCCTACCTTATTATGTTGTAGTAGTATTAATTATATAACATTTTTTTGTTTTATTATATTTCTTATAATAAATATATTATATTAGGGTAGATAACTACAAACTGAATTTCAAATTTATGAAAAATTTTTTTTATATAAGCCTGAAATATATAACCCTGCAAATTACTTTGAAATGGTGGTGGATAAAAATTTACAAAATCGATTTTATTAAACAAAGAATCACAATAAATAAACCACCACTTCACATTATTTATTTTCTGTCCGGAGCGGCATATCTGCATAAATACAAAAAGTATATTTTGCCAATTTTTAATAATTTACAACTATAATAAAATCAACGAATTAAATTAACTTACTAATTGAACATTAATCGAAAAAATGCTTTTTCGATTTATGTACATAAACCAGTCATCTGATGGCGGTCTTTGAATCGGTATATGTGTCCCATCAATTATTCCCAATAGTCTTGGAAAGCCACTAGCTTCAAAAAATTTCATTCTTGTGTTCCGCTTCTCTTGGTCAGTAGAGGGAAATTTTATAAACATTGGAAGTATATCCACTAGAGCTTTCGTCACTCTACCCAAGCTTCTTGACACTGATGACTGCGACATCTCTGAAAATTTGCTGTCAGCAGTCACGCCTTGGAATGATCCTGAAGCAAGTAGACTGAGAGTCATTAATACCTAGAAAACCAAACAATATAAATATTTTAATAAGTAAATAAAATTCTTGAGAGCATCTAAACAGTGACTTATGATAAATCAAAAAAAGAAATAAAATAATCACACAGTGTAACATTTAATTCACACCTTACCAATTAGATAATTCTTTTTTTGTGCACACTAAAAATACCTTTACCTTCTAGATGTAAGTAGTACACATGCATAGATACATACTTTTCAAAAAGCATTTTATTTAAATAATATTTTAATAAAAAAAATTTCTTTTTACAAACCATCACTCGTGAAATTGTACTTTATTTAACATAAAGTACTACTAATACCAGTAGGTCTTATATGCTAGAGAAATTTGTCAAACACAATAACCAAATAAAGTTTAAATTAGCCATTATTTAATAATTTAATATATATATATATATATATATGTATATATATATAGAGAGAGAGAGAGAGAGCCCAGACATGTTTCTGTTCCAGAATATACTACTATTAAACTTCTTTAATCTTTAAATTTATTTCAAAATCAAATTTTTTCACAAATAAATAAATGATATAAATAATTGGCATGATGTAAATGATTTATTTCTAGATATATTCATTACTAAAATAAATATTTGTTAAAATCATTACATAATAGCTTTAAAAATAAATCAAAACTTGAAGCTAGAAATTTTATACTGTATAAATATTTTGATGAAAAATAATATTCAAAACTAAACATTAAAGTTTTTTTTTGCAACTTAAAACAATAACAAAACGGAAGTGTAAATAAATTTTTTTATTTCATTAGGGCCCATGCGTTTTGACATAGCATAAGTGATTACAGTGACAATATTTTTCAAAATTAATGTGAAAGGTAATCCTTTACTGTTTACTAAGTGCAAGGTAATGTTTTCTACTACACAAACTTTTAAGATTTTTGACCTGATAGAAGATATAAGTTAAAATGGGTAATAAATATGTTAAATTACTGCTTACAGTTTACATGAGATAGAAAAAGTAAACAAACAAAAATATCTTACCTGTTGTTCAACGGTATGGCCTGATGTCTTTAGCTTTATTTTGCTCTCTAACAAGTCACACACATATAAATAAGATTCTCGAGTCAAGCGATAGCGGCTTATAAATTGCTCTTCTGAAAGATCAAGAGGATTCATATAATCCCGTAAATATCTCGGGATTTTATTTTTTATTTTTTCGTTTCGTAAAAGAAGTAAAAAATCCGCCATTGTAATCGTCAACAAACACCACGATACAATTCTGGCCTGTGATTGGTCAGAGAAGTTCTATCGAACCTCAACCTTCGAAGTCAAGCTATCGTGCTGGTCACGTGATAAAAAACGTTCGTAACGTTTCAGTTGAATTAAGAAACACGCATTTTTTCGAACCGATCGAGAAGTAACCAGTCGTTCGATCGAATTTTGTTTCAGTTGCATAGGGCGCTTAATCCTGATTCAGTATCTTGGATGCACCCCTATGTACACAATCCTTCCTCCTCCGAGTCAATTGTTCTATCGAATGTTTGACCGCTCATTCGTGACCCAATGGCTATTGGTGAGGTTGTAAAAGAATTGATTTAAATCGAAAGCAACTGCTACTTTTTTAATTAAAAGAGCCCTTCTAAAGATTAAAAAGAAACCGAAAATTAAAACAGTTTTAATAACAGTTGGTAAAGTTGGGTGACCAAACTTTCTAGGAACTTCTGTATCATATCAACAATTATTAAGAGTGCCACTATCTAAATAAAAATTATGAGTGCCACTGTCAATATTATTAAAAAAAAATTTTAAATCTGAAGATAATAAATGTCATTTATAAGCAGATTATGAATTTTTTTTTGAAAAATATTAACTATAGGCTAATTATAGATTTTTAAGCAAAAAATGCTTTTTATGTGCTGATTACAAAATATCACGTAATTAGATTTTTTTTTATGAAAGCCCATTTAGAGATGAAGTCTTGAAAAATTAATACAATAAATAAAAACACAGTAGAATATTAGGTTTTAATGTTAATAAATATTTTTAAGGGTTCAGACAGTTTTAGGATGTGTTCAAAATAAAAATTAATTCTTCAAACATAAAATTTTAAGTAATTATTAAATAATCAGCACATAATTAATGGCTTACAAACTTTGGCGAAGTTTTAGAAGACATCATTTTTTTAAAAAAATCGAACCCTGAATAGTGATGAAGTCTTGAAAAAATAATACAATAAATAAAAACTGAGCCGTTGTGGCTTAGGGCAGTGTTTCCCAAAGAGTGGTACGCGTACCCCTAGGGGTACGGGAACAGTTTAGCGGGGGTACGCGCTCTAATGCAACATATCTTGCAACAAACAAAAATTTCGCAAAATTTTATTTGAAAATAAAGCTATCCATGAAAATTTACGATTACGTATTTTTCTATTGGCTATTTTTTGTTGAGTTAACAGTTAATAATTAGTGGTATCAACAGCCAGTTGTGATTTTTAATTTTTGTGCAATTTTTTATAGTAAAAAATACATTCATTTTTTAATTAGTGGTACACAGAGTTACGAAAAATTTAGAAAGGGTACACAAAAGTCAAAAGTTTGGGAAACACTGGCTTGGAAATTCGTATCGATGGGATCGATACGAATTTCGCACCCGGCTCGCACCGACCACAGTCATGACGAAAAATTATCCTCAGTGGTAGAGAGATCACGGGTTAGAGTCCCCTTACAGTAAGGGTAACCTAGGAATATTTCTGTCGTTTTCCTCTCTATGTAACGCAAATGCGGGTTAGTTCTGTCAAAAAGTTTAAGACAAAAGCAAATTTCTTCCAAAACTTGATAAAGGAATTCCCTTGTCTTCTGGATTGGGTTCAAAATTACAAGGCTATGAAGTTGAACGTAAGTCGTAAACCCAAAATTCAGCTATTCAACGACGGTTATGAAATAAAATAAAAACTAAGTAGAATCTAAGGTTTTAAAAACATTTTTAAGTGTTTAGATATTTAGTATTAGAATAAAAACAAATTTTTGAAATATATAATTTTAAGTAGTTATTATATAATCAGCACATAATTAATGGTTTGCAAACTAGGCAAAGTTTCAAAAAACATAATTTTTTAATTTTAAAATTTTTTTTAAAAATAATCCTGAATAGTGATGAAATTTTGAGAAAATAAAACAATAAATAAAAACTAAGTAGAATCTTATGTTTCAATGTTAATAAACATTTTTAAGGGTTTAGCCAGGCAGGATGTGCTTAAAATAAAAAACGAATTTTTGAACCACATAATTTTAAGTAGTTATTCAATAATCGGCACTTAATTAATGATTTACGTACTTTGGCAAGACGTCATTTTTTTTTAAAAAAAAAAACTTCTCTTCTTTTTTTTTTTTTTTTTTCAATAAGTTGACTTTTTAATAATTTCCAGTGTTAAAACTCTGCACGTGTACTTCTGTTTAGCTATCCATGACATAGTTCGACATTTGGAATTACTAGGAGTTATTTTTGTTTTAATGCGTGATTATTAAAGAACTTGAAACATGTATTGAGAATCTTCTACTAATATAATGGATTTAAAAACTTACGGTATGTAAGGGTAAGACAGATTGTGGACACTTTTTAAGATAGAAGCAAATAATTGTTGACTAATTTAAATGCAAAAAAAAGGGGGGGGGACATATCGAAAAATATTTGTCAGAAAAGTTCAAAAAAGTTAAAACAGTTTATTTTCAAATATTTTTATAGTAACTTTTTAGGCAAAAAATGCTAGACATCAAAAGTCATATGAAAAGTGTATTTATTCAATAAAAATTAAAAGTAGAAATCCTAGCCAAGACAACGATTTTAACTTTTATTTTTACTAAACTCACAAAAAAACTATACAGCATATAGGCTTGAGGGACATAGTAACACATTTGCCGTAGGTGATATTTAACATCAAACTGTTTCTTGGTATAGTTTCGAGGTAGGCACTTAACAAGTTTTTGAAATTTTTAACTAGAACACAGCCAAAAAATCAATCAGAAAAATTCTACTCCGCCTAATTTATTCGAAACACTTCATTAACAGAAACATCTTAATCGTCGTGTGTTTGACCAATAACGTTTTTCTAAAGAAATTTTTTAAAAAATTTATTAATTTTCAATTAAAATTTTTGAGCAAGTTTGAAAAACGTGTCTTTTTTATAGGCCCTAAGCCCTTATAACATGTATAATTTTACAATTAAAGTTACAAAATTTAATTTTCATATTACCATTTAGTATACATTAGACAACATGTTTAAAGTACTTAAACTACTAAATGTAATAAAACATTAAAAAAAATTAGATGTAAGCTGTTTAATTTTAAAGACGATCAGATGAAAGTTCAATAAGTTATCGAACTCGTCGTTTATAGATATTATATTGTTGTTCATAGGAAATTTTTTATAACGTTTATAGTTTTTCAATTAAAGTTATCAGACCTAATTTTAATATCATCTATTTGGTATATGTTCCACAACATGATTAAAATACTTTAATAAAAGCAATAAAACTTCAGTAAACAAAAATTAGATACATAGCATACAAGCTATTTAATTTTTAAGAAAATCAGAAGAAAGTTCGAAAAGTTATCGAATTCATCGTTTATAAATATTTTCAGCAAAAAATATTACGTCTTTGCTGATACATGTGTTTCATTTATTAATTTTTTATTTATAATAGAACATTGTATAAGTATGAAATTTTTTTTTTGCCATTATAAGATCAATTAATCCACTAAAAATAAGTCTATTTATTGATAAATCTCCAATATCCAGTTTCTTAAGAAATTTTTTTTCTTCTACTTAATAGATCCTAAATTAAATACTAAATAAACATATTTAGACCTAATGCACGCTGTAATGCACATTGCATCTAACATTACAGCGTATTTTAAATTTAAAAAAATTTAAAAAATCATCCGCTAGATTAAGATATTATTTTCTTTCTTTGCAATAGGTTTCAATTAAACGTTAACGAGCGAAATTGTAAAAAATGTAGAATCAAACAGTATACTTTAGACATAACATACTATATTTAGACCTAATATAGCAAATTTAGACCTAGCATAACAGCTTATTTAGATTTAACATAATATATTTAGCCATAATATAGCATGTTTAAAACTAGGATAAGAGCTTATTTTGACCTAACATTTCACCATTTTTAGATTTAAAAAAAAAAAACATTGATATTCACTTGCTAAAAAATATTTACGTTTTTAATATGTTTTAAATTAAGCACTAAATATTTAATATAAATTAAATATACTAATAATTAATTATACTATATAATTAAATATACTAATTTAAAGTAAAATCGTATATTTCAGAACTAACATAAAATAGTTAGCATATTTGGACACATCATGAAAGCTTATTTAGACCTAACATAATATATTTAGCCATAGCACATCATATTTAGTAGCATAACAGCTTATTTAAACCTAACATAACAGCATTTTTAAATCCAAAAAAGAAAAAGAAAAAAAAAACACCGATATTTATTTGCCAAATAATTCGCTTTCCTATTTAAAAGGTTTTAAATTAACACTAAATAAAACCTGTCATTTTAACTACTTGCGAAATTTCATATAACGTATAGTCAAACAGAAACTTTGACCTTAAAATATATTTGACTTTAAAATAACAATTTAATCGAAGCTATTAATCAGAACAAGACTCCATGCTGGTTTCCAGAATTCCTAAAAAAGGAGGTAGATGAAAAAGTTCATTTTCTAAGACATTTCCACCGTCTAAAGTCAAGGTCAGCTATGAAATCTTATCGAGGGGTCTGCCGATGTTCGTCCCTTTATTTCCCTCAGAGAGCATCTGCAAGATGCCGGCTTTGTTAGTTTTGAGGGGAAGGGGGTTCACCAGGGCCTCTTACAACCTTAACTTGGGGCCCATAACCATTGCAAAAACAAAAAAGGCCCCATTTTTTTTTTACTAAGGCTTCTAAAATAATAACAGAAAAATACACCTTTAAAAAGGAAAAAGCAAAATGGCGAAAAAGGGCAAATAAAATTTATTATGGCTGATAGCTATATTGCCTGGGGAAAGTTGATTGACTTCAGAATAATCTTTCCCTCTTACAGTCGTATTCACAGCATTGCATTCTGATATATTGCTGCTGCATTCTTTCAATGCAGAATACAGCATTCAAAACTGCATCAATGTGTTAGAATGTGCAGCAATCCAAAAATATCACAAATTCACAGCAATATGTTACCATAAAGCATATATAATTATGCATGCGTGAATTAGTTTTCATGTTTCAGAATTTAAAATGCGTGTATGACTTCGTACAAGTGTATTGCGTTAAAAATGATTATCATTTCAATGCATTTATGAATTCCATTTTTTGCACCATTCCCGACGTGTGAATTTCTGTTAACGAATTCGACATTACATTAATGCATTATAGCTTTATATATCTATATTTTGTTGCAAATACTTCAATAATGCATTTATATATTTGTGCATTCCATTTATGGAGACACATTTCCTTACATGTGAATTTTCGTAGACAAATTTTGCATTATATTAATGCTTATAAATCTACTTTGTGATAAAAATGATTCCTTATTTTAATGCAATCATAACTTAGTAGATTCTTGCAATGCATACAGAATTCCTTATTAATAAGCTTTTGTTATTAACTATTGCACAATATTAATCTCTTAATTACTTATTTGAGGGCAGGAATTACGTCAAAAATATTAAGCTTAATACTAACAATTACATAGTTGTTAATTAAATACAACATGAACTACATGGAATGCGTGCGAATCCGTT